TAAGCGAGTTCGTAAATTATTCTTAGTTTCTCCTACATACCGTTTGGGGCATTTCTTGCATGAAATTAAATATATTACATTCGAATGTTCACATGTTAGATGTTCCTGGATCGGGTACCTTTTATTCGTAGAGTTGCTTACAAAATAATGAGTTTCTGATATAAAAGGACATGTTTTGCATCTACTGGACAAACATGGAGCACTTCTTAAACCTGGAGGTACTTCGGCATAAAGTCTGTTTTTAGCTGCTATCTGTGCTAAGGTGGAATTTTTTATGTTTCGTAAAAATCGTTTAGAGTACCCACGCTCTTTCAGTTTTGAGAAAACAATCGTACAGGCTTGGTTGAAATCAGAAGATCTTGTACAAATTCGATGAAATCGTAAAACTTGTGACTTAATTATACCAGAAAAGGTATGTTTTGGGTGAAAGGAACTCTTGTGCAAGAGTTGATGAGTATCAGTTTCTTTGAAATACACTTTAATATCCTGTTTATTTGTTTCTGCTATGGAATCTCCCTTAAAGACTGTGGTATCGAGAAAGTCTATGCTTTTGTCACTCACTTATCTGTATGTTTTAAGTAAAAAAATACAGACGTTAATTTTTCAACACTATTTAAACTATTTTAAACTACTGTAAGGATTAAAGCAAGATAAATGCCCAATTGTAGAGATATATACTCTGTTTTAAGTTAACCCTTTTTTCGTGTTATAATCATGATGTTTTTGATAATGAAAATTTTGTATAGCTGTAAATAGTTATGATCACATTGTAGGCCTTCATTGCATGAGTTTAAATTTCTTATCTCTTCTACCTCAAAACAAAATAAACTGGTCTTCAATGCTCACTCACTACACATTTTATACAATGCTGTTTGAGATATTAGCTACTTACGGTACAGTTTCCTCTCAAAGACTTGAAAGTGCGCAAACGGATATCTGATCTATTTTTGAAGGGCATTTAAAACTCAGAAATAAAGTAATCTTACTTGTGTTTGAGATTACTTGAACCAAATGAATGTTCTGAAGCATATCATTGTAATAAATATTTATAAATGGATCAAGTATGGATATTTGTAATTCAGTTGGTGTTCATATATCCGTTTTGGCCACAAACTGATCCTCATCTTTTCAGCAGTTGATTGGTGCCTTATTTCTGATCGCTGAAAAAAACCCTCAATTGAGGCTGCATCAGTTCAGCTGTTTAAGAAAGGTTTAGGCCAGTATCATGTTAAGAAATTGTTTCAATAAAAGTCGATAGTTTTGTTTAAAAGGACAGGAGTGCCATTTTTTGGCCATTAGTACCTTAGTCAAAGAAACTGGAATTTTTTTTAGCTTAGTCAATCACTAAGTGTTCATAGCTCACATGGAATTACTGTGTTTGAAAGTTCAAAAGACGGGTGGTCTTTTCTTGTGACACTGCCATATATATAGAGACATGTATATTAAATAGAAAGTGAAATTCCTAGGTTAAGATATTTTTGAAGGAATAAGCAACTATCTTAAGATGAAAATGTAGCAGATTCATTGTTGTGTTTGGCTAAATCACTACATCCAAGCTGGCCATAATTCAACCCCATTACAAAACTAAATAAACATTGACATGGTTATAGCAAGCTTATATCTACTCATGAACTTAAACTTGAATGTTGTGACCAAACAATTTTTGATGCTTTTCGAACCTTAGAACCTTCTAACCCATGAGTGTCTAGAATTATCTGCATTTGAAAGTTAAATTGATGAGTCATCTTTTATTGAAGGGCTTGAAATCACAGACTGATTCAAAATTTTAAGAATCAATTTTAGTCCCTGTCTGTTAAATATTAAACATTACAAAAATTTAATAAGGTTCCTATTGATCTGTGCATTTTGGCATTAAATATTTTGCTGACACCATCAGCTTATCCAGTATGTTAGAAATAGATGAAATAGGCCAATCAGACAAAAAAAAATGAAAAGTTTAAACTATGGATTTGATAAGTGACTTTTGGAGCCGCGGTGGCTCAGTGAGTTGCTCGCTAACCTGAAGGTCCAGGGTTCAATCCAGGCATAGATCGAGATAATACCTTCGGATTTTTCAACCCAGTTTCCCCCTGTCAGTGATGCAGGTACAAAGGGCTGACATGGAAAAGGCGTCTAGTCGTTCGAATGGGACAATAAACCGAGGCCCCGTGTGCTACAGGCTGTGCACGTTTAAGATCCCTCCATGGTTGGAAATCGAAAAAGAGCAGGCTAATGCCGCTGTCCTGGCAAAATTTTCCCCATTGCACCCTGCATGGCGTTGCCCGTCTTCATTAGCCCACATGGTGCAGAAAAGTAGGACGTAAAACTCAATTCATTTCATTTTTTATGATAAGTGACTTTCATGTAATTGTGTTAATCCTTTGCAGCCTTATCCATAATTCATCATTGATCTGAGTAGACTTGATCCGAGTTAACTTGATCTGAATTAACTTCGGTTCAATCTGTCTAGTATTCACTTTGAAAATAGACCATTTCTAAATAATATTATATGCTTAAACTTATGTTTTACAATTATATCAAAGCTTTGATATTCTAAGGTCAGTAATATTTTGAATTTCTGAACCAATTCGTAGATAAAGTAAGCAGTAAAGACAGTTGTATATGTATTTGAGCAACCCTTTCCTTCCAAGAGTGATTGAATTCTTTTACAAATTGCTGGAAGTCAAATCTTCAATTTCTGTTTCAGATGTTTTGATGGCTATAATGCTACTGTTTTTGCTTATGGACAGGTATGTTGTATTTCATGATATCACAATTACTACATCAAAAACGTATGTCCCAAGATAATGCTTTTTTTGTGTAAGCTTATATAACACAAAATGGTTTTTATCAAGAATCGTGAAATTCGCATCAAAAAATATAAGTTTCTCTTTTTTTCTCTCATATAAATACAGATATACAAATGAAATTTTCATTGTCTGGAATGCCTTTGGGTCCATGAAAATATAGATTTGTAAATTTACTTTTTGTAAAATAAACTCCCTTGAGCTCTTTAAGTCATGGGTTCTTCATTTTCCTTCTAGAATTTCTATCTACTGCCAAATCAAATTGTAACCCTATATTCATTTGAATTGAAATTTTGAAGTGTTGCAGCAAAAGACCAAAAGGACTTGATTCTTCTGTACGTACATTACCCATTGATGTTGATGCGATCTTGTAAAGTATCAGTAAAGAATAGTAACTCATTTAAGATCCTCTTAGAGTTATATATATGGATTTTATAAATTAAAATCTGAAATTATCATAGTTTTGCATCAATATCAGACTATGGTTAACTAAGGTTAGATATAAAACACAGTGATATTGTACTACATCACTTACAATATTCTCAAAATGTAGGTGTATCTTAAAACACTGCCTATAGAACATACAAAAACTTGTAACAATTATTGACATAAAGATTAGAGTTTTGTCTAAAGCTTACCTGGTCGACCAGTTAAATCTTTATTTTTGTCAAATAACGTACTATTACATTAGGGACTATATTTAGAATATAAGCCAAATCATGTCAAACCAACACCATTAAGCTCCTATTCTTATTTTTGCTCTGGTCTCATCAGCCTTTTCTAATCTTTTAATCACAGAGATGACCTCTAAAGCCATAAAATAGATTGTAAATAGGTTTTATAAAAAATTTGTGTATTGGGAACGCTGATAGCATCAGTTTGCACTAAAAAATTTAGAAGACCTCTTTACAAACCCTTTTAAAATAATCCACACTTTTCTCTGGTTTTGTGTGGCCAAATAGTGCTTAATAAAACTGTTTCTATTCCATGCTTAAAATGTTTATGATGAATATATCATTAATTGTAGGACTTGGCTACCGCAAAGTCCCAGTTTGTTATCGAAATGTCCAAAATCGGCTCTAAAAGGCGTATTTTTGCATCGATTTTCTTCGGGTTTTCATTTTTACAATCTACCTGTAATTTCTGACCTGATAGCACTTGAAAAATTACGAAATTCGAAAATTTTTTCGATTTTTTTGCAACTTTTTTGCTTTTGCATCGATTGATCTGAAATTTTAAATGCAGAGAGACTTCACTAATGTTAATAATATGATACAGTCAAATTTTGTACGTCATTTCCGATTTTAAACATGAAAGCGACTGAACTTCAAATCTACTTCCGGTTGAATAACTTCCGGTGTAATTTATGTAGGTCAACAAAATTTGGCTGATCTTTGGCAAATAAAATTTTATGGCCGATTTTAAAATAAAATCCAGACCGGAAGTAATACTTTGGCCGCCATATTGAAAAAACACACTTTTGTAAAACTCAAAATGGGGCCTCAGGGTAAAAGTTGATATGCTCAAATTTGATGTGAATGTAGTTTGCAATCGATTGCGCAAAAAACATTGGGAGCCGAATTTTGAATTTCGCTTTTGCTTTTTTGCAACTTCCGGTTGAAATTTTTTAAAGCTTTAAGCGATCACAGCATGTGACCTTGACCTTTGATGACCTTGACCTTCATAGGGTCAAAGGTCATTGACCTTGGCTATCATTTGATACTTTGACCTTTGACCTCCGACATGTACTTCCGGTTTTATAGCTATCCGTAAAAAGCCAAATTTGCAACTTTGGACTGCTCTAACACGTGACCTAATTAACCTTGAGGGTTAATTTTTTCGGTTTCCTAATGTGCTTCTCATGCACTTTACATAGATATATAACAATCGTTATTTTAAAGCAAAATTGAAATTCGTGATTTTTTTCAAATTTGAGTTTTTTTTTACAATATTTGTGTCTTTTTGAGCTAGGTATATGTATATCTTATGATCTATTTGATGTAGAACCTTGATATTTGGAATACAACTAGACACTTTGAATATGAATTCACCTATGACAAAAAAACTTATGTGGGCGTGGCACATCCGGGTTGAATTACTAATTGTTTACATTTAAAGGGAGGGGCATAATTCGCATAGGATGCGTTTTTTCAAAAAGGGCCTTTGCACACAATTACCTCATCCTTTTGGCCAGTTTGTGTTAACAGCTCAGTTGTTTCAGCTTTATAGTTCCAAAAAAGGAACGTTTTTTTTACATTTGGATATTTTCATTTTTCGATTTTGACTTTTGTTAACTTTTGTTGACCTATATCTTTTGACCTGTATTATGTAGGAGCTTGACATTTGGAACATAATGTAACAATTTGAATATCAATTAACCTATGCAAAAAAATTGAGGTGGGCGTGGCACATCCGGGTTAAATTACTCATTATTGACATTTTTGGCTAGGGGCATAATTCGCAAAATATACATTTGTTCAAAATGGAACTTTGCATACAATTACCTCATATTTTGAACCACTTTGTCTCAGAATTTCAGTTGTTTCCGCTTCATAGTTCAAAAAAAGGAACAGGTTTTGGAAATTAAAAATTTTCAATTTTTGACCTTGACCTTTGTTGACCTTGACCTTTGTAGAATCAAACTTTATTGGCATTGGCTATCTATTTATACTTTTATATTTTCCGTCTTATGTCAGCTTCTGGTTTTATAGTCGTGTGCAACTTGAAATTTTGGTAACGTATATCTCTTGATCTTGACCTTTTTAGACCTTCTCTTTTACAAGATCAAAGGTCATTGACCTTGGCTATCTGCAGATACTTTCATTTGTGAAGTCTGACGTCTACTTCCAGTATTAGAATCTTCTAAAAAATGAAAATTTCTAAACTTTAGACTGTTCTTGCGCTTGATCTAATTATCATCGAAGGTTGATTTTTTCAGGGTCTTTTGCATTTTGCTACATTTGCAAAGTTCCACTCTGTGCCACGAGTGGCTCTAGTATATCATTTATTTACTAATTTATAGACAGGGTCTGGTAAAACCTACACCATGGGTACAGGTTTTGATGTTACAGCTCCACAAGAAACAATAGGTATAATACCCAGAGCGGTTGATCATTTATTTAAAAGAATAGAAAACTGCCGAAGAGAAGCTACTGAGAGAAATGAACCACCACCTGAATTTAAAGTCAATGCTCAATTTATGGAGGTAAGTGTCCAATATGTACATGTAATGAACATAATGACCTTGTTTCCACTGATTAAATTTAACTTGAAAAACAGACATGAAAACTAGCTTTTACTCACAGTCAATACTCAATACATGGTTTTAAAGGAACATGTGCAGTATGTCCAAGAGTAAATGATACCTTGGTACCAGCAATGTAAATCGTTCTGCTTATCTAATCAGTAATAATGTTCACAGCTTACCATAGAAATTTGAGCCGTTAAAATCTAAGTGTAAGCTTATCCATATGTATAAAGTTATCTTATTGAGTCGAAGTTTTAAACAGTTTTTATTTTGCATTTTCGTTGATGACGTCTTGAGTATACAGTAGACTCAATCATCATGTCCCACTTCCTCTAGGCACAGATGCGATTGAAGATATCAACAAGATGTTCAAATTTCGGATACAGCAATTTTTATACGCCCACATGAAAATGTCTTATAGATGATTTTAAGATTATTTGAAAATTTATTATAAACCACTAAAGATTTTGTTATCATTCTGACAGCTGGTAGTGGGCGTATGTTATCTTGCCTGGCAAGCTATCTTTTACTTATGTCATCAATGGATTATAGAAAGAAGTAAAACTTATAAATTAATCAATATAAATAGTAATTTGTAGTATTTGAGTTAATTTGTATTTTGTTACGCATGATCAACTAAGCTCTTACTTTATATAGAATAAGGGAAGAACTTTAACTTTCATAAAAATATTTATCATATATCAAACAATTTTTTTCTTTTAATATCCTTTCAAAACATCTTGAAAGATAGTTGAACTGACCACATGATTAGAAAGAGGTGGACACTTGACCTCAATAGGCCTTTGACATTCCCAGTTATTGACATTAACTTGTCATAGGTGTACCTGCCCTGTCAACTTGTATCAGTATTTAGTAGTACTGATAACTATATCAAAACAACTTTCTCTCTATACTGACAAATAGCCTTGACAATCGTATTCATCTTTTTTAGCACTTCAAAAAATATTTCCTTTTGTCATATTCAGAAGAAAATATTTCAGAAACATGCTGTGTTCAAGATTTAATCATTCAAACTAATTATGTTGAAGTGGTTTTTTCAAATAATTTTTGAGTTGCTGTGAAATTTTTATTTTTCATTTTTTGAAGTATGTTTTTATAATGAAGTCTTAAAGTTCAGCTTTGATTTTTTTTGTTTTTTTTAACTGAAATGATGAGTTTCATTGAAAATTATTTTTATGATTGAATGTCAAAATCCCATTTTTTATTATAGAAAACTAATTATGTTGAATATATCAAGACATAAGCTGTATTATAAATTTCGTAGTATTATAATAGAAATCTCTGATATCTGACCTCATGAACAGCCAGGCATGATACTGAATAATATAAACCTGGCCATCAGATACCTATAAGATATAACATTCTATTTTTAGTCTTGGTTCTATTTTTAAATTTACTAATTAATCCATCAATATTGGTGAGCTATGATAGCAATATTGAGGAAATTAGATAAAATGGATGAATTAGGTTGAAAAATGAATTGTTTTTAAAATGTGTAAATATGAGAAATTATCAATAAAGGTGTCAGCTGTTTATGTTTATATAAGTGTAAGGTTTATTAGGTCTATTGAAAGGGTGGTAGAAATAAATTTGTTGCATTTCTTTCAATAATCCTTTCTTATAAAAAATATTCAGTATATAAACCAGACAAAAGACAATTTATATCCAAATGTTTGGCTTTTTTTTCTAATTTTAAACAAAGCTACATTCCAGTGGATGTCCTTCTTAAAAACTACATATAAACATTATAGTTGAAGACTTCAATTGTATAGTTTTATTGTTGTAAATATATTTATAACACTACTAGTATAGAATGAGATTACTTTTTATAAATTATAAGAATAATCAGATGTTGCAAATTCTCATACATTATGGCCTTTGATAAGCTTATAGAGTAAAATATGAGTCAATACTTCAGAAATTATGTCAAAATTAGATAGATATCAAAATTGTAATTTAATTGATTAGCTTAAGCCAGAATAAGACTCTTCTATTGTAACATTACATAGGTCTTCTAAATATAGGTTTGAATGTCCTTGAAAACAGGTTTTGACCTTGAAGGTCCTTGAAAATAGGTTGTAGTTTTGAAGGTCCTTGAAAATACGTTGAAGTTTTGAAATTTTTGAAAATAGGTTGTGGCCATGAAGGTTTTTGAAAATAGGTTGGGGCCATGAAGGTTTTTGAAAATAGGTTGGGGCCATGAAGGTTTTTGAAAATAGGCTGTGGCCTTGAAGGTTTTAGAAAATAGGTTGTGGCCATGAAGGTCCTTGAAAATAGGTTGTGGCCATGAAGGTCCTTGAAAAAAGGTTGTTGCCGTGAAGGTTTTTGAAAATATGTTGTGGCCATGAAGGTCCTTGAAAATATGTTGTGGCCATGAAGGTCCTTGAAAAAAGATTGTTGCCTTGAAGGTTTTTGAAAATATAATGTGGCCTTGAAGGTCTTTGAAAATAAGTTGTGACTTTGAAGGTCCTTGGAAATAGGTTGTGGCCTTGAAGGTCTTTGAAAATAGGATGTGGCCTTGAAGTTTTTTGAAAATAGGTTGTGGCCTTGAAGATCCTTGAAAATAGGTTGTGACTTTGAAGGTATTCAAATATAAGTTGTGGTCTTGAAGGTCTTTTTATGTAGGTTGTGGTCATGAAGGTCTTTTAATGTAGGTTGTGGCCTTGAAGGTCTTTTAATGTAGGTTGTGGTCATGAAGGTCTTTTAATGTAGGTTGTGGCCTTGAAGGTCTTTTAATGTAGGTTGTGGCCTTAAAAATCTTCGAAAATGTTATATATGAACATTTTTTGAAAATCTTTAAAATGGTTTTACAGAGCTGATTGACCCACAGAAGAATTTTTCTGAACTTATTATGTGTATCAGGGACGCTGATATCAACAATTTGCACCATTTCAATTTTCAATCAGAAGTCTATTGTTCTTGCAATGCCACTGAAGGTAAGCATTTTATGACGTCAGGATGGCTTTGTGATGTGACGTCTTACATAAGTAATGTGGAATTGCAAAGGACCACAGATATCGGATTGAAAATTGGAATGGTGCAAATCGATGCTATCAGTTTCTCGTATAAACATAGATTTTCTAGGATACCTCTTTACCTCCCTTAAAAATATTAGTATACTTACTGTGTGCAAATATTGAAATTTTTTTTATTTTGTATGAAAGTTCTTGAAGTTGAAACACTTAATTATTTACCAGTAAATATAAAAAGGCCAAAGATTTTATTGTTTGAATTGAAGTATAAAGTTTAATTTGTTGAAAACAAATCAATTTGTTTTTCTTTGAACCATTGCTTATTTCCTCAAATTTATATTGGGTGGTTGATTGCTTGATCATTTAAGCTTCACCATCTAGTATTACACTGGAAATTGAATATTTGACACAGCTTTGAAATGACCTTGATGAAGTTGATGTCACATTTTGTCCAAATATTTCATACCAAAATAAAGAAATTGATAGTCTTATAATGACAATGATTATCTCAGTCACTGAATATTTTAACATATATTAGTGGTGACTGATCAATACAAAAAGAAGTTCCCATAGACTGAACTTTGTTTTTTCTGGACTCACTCCACTAATTCATATAAGTAATCTCCTGAAGCCTGACCAATCCCTAAAAACTGATTTAAAACCTATTTTGTCTATGCAAATATTGAGTTAATCAAATGGAAACTATTTTCACACTTATTCTTCCACATCTTAATCTCATCATATTTCTCAAATCTTAAATCAATAATGATTTCAGATATTAAAGTTCAAGATCTATACCACAAAAAAGGCAAAAAAAACAAACAAAAAAAGGAGAGGGAATGTCCAAAAATACTGTGGTCTACGTTCATATAAAATCATTGGTGCAGAAAATATAGTTAATATACTTGAAGGAATCAGTTAATTTAAGTTTGTCCTGAAACTTGTTCAGGAGGATTCCAAATTGTCCTAGGATAAAGTTCAATTTCAGTTTCTCCTAGGACAATTTAAAATTGCCCTAGGAGAAACTCTAATTGGAGTTTTAGATTTTAGTTTCTACTGTGACAGATATTTCCAGAATCATGCTAAAGACTTTCTGAATTGAAATAGCCAGGTATCTGGAAAGTTTGTACACTAAAACAAATCTTAAGATGCATTATAATTAGCTTGTATCAGATGATGTTTTGTGTAATACAGGTATTTTCATACAAAGATAAAAAAAAATGAAGGAAACATCCCATTGGTGAAATTATGATTAAATACTTTGCTCCATGACCTTATGTTATATAAACTATTTTATCCATGTGGTCCATTATTTACATTTAAAAAGGACAGATAAAAGAATATTTTTTTATTCAAATTTTTATTTAATATGTCCATCAAGCATAATATTTTTTTTATTCAACGATTTCTATAATCTTGACCCATTATGTGTAGTTACTGTTCAATTATATTACTTTACTTTCTCAGATACATACAATTTATATCTTTTTATCTCACATTTATTATGACTTAAAGGTAAAAAATGGGTGATTTGGTATGACTCTTTAAAGCTCAATTATTATGTGTTTATATTTGTTGAGAATATAGGTCACTGATAATTTGTTGTTATCTGTTAAAAAGTTGACTATACTATTGTTAGTTTATTGTAAATATTTTAAGACTGTTTATTCACACTGTGTAGGTACAACATGTGATCATCCCTACCTAACCCTAATAAAGTCCCTTAATATCATTCTTGACATCAAAATGGCTTCACTCTCGAGAAAAAAAATTAGCTCATCTGGATTTTTGACACATGTCTGCAGTGTTTTGGGTCATCTCTGACAAAAAGCTGAAAAAGTTGAAGGAATTTAGAATTGCAAAGTCATGATAATGTGATCATACTTAACAAAAAATTTAAGCTTATGTAACTTCTGCATAGCATATAAATGGAGAGGTCTATTGGGCCATGGCTTCACCTCGGGCGTGTGATAAGTCTCATTTTTATATGCCCACATGAAATGGGGGGCGTATATTGCCGTCACCCATGTCCGTCCGTCCGTCCGTCCACAATTGCTCGTAAACACTCTACAAGACACAATCCTTGACGGATTTTGACAGAACTTGGTATGAGTGTTTGTTATCACCAAAGGATGAACCCTATCGAAAATCAGCAAAATCAAAAAATAATTAGTATGAGTTATCGCCCTTGCTATTGAAACGCGTTCAATTTTTAGCTTGTAATCACTTTAAAGGGCACAATTCTTGACGGATTTTGATGAAACTTTGTGTGAATGTTCGTAATCACCCAAGAATGAACCCTATCGAAAATCAGAAGAATTGAAAAATATTTAGTATGAGTTATTGCCTTTGTTCTTGAAAATGCTTTCAAATTAAGCTCTTAAACACTAAAATGCATGATTCTTGCTGGATTTTGACTTGGTTTTATTATTCAGTCACGAGCTGAAGATTGAATATTTGCCTTCTAGAGTGTCCACGAGCTAAAAATTGAACACGTTTTTCAAGAACAAGGGCAATAACTCATACTCAATATTATTCATTATTGCGCTAAAGAGTTCAAAAGAAGTGTATAACTGAAGGTTGAATATTTCATACTGGTGATTGTTACTGTACTGCTAAATATTTATATTCAAAATCAAAGCTGCCAGTGGGCGTATATTACCTTGCCTGGCAAGCTATCTTGAAGTGAAAATTAAGCCCTCTCAAAATTCAACTCAGGCCATCTGAAATCTGTTGGTTTTTTGGTGGCCCCTGGGAGACCCCAGACATCAAGGGGCGTTGGACCTCGGTAGGGAGACACCTCATTTTTGGCCCCCTGTTCTGGTAGTTTCTAGATAAGCCCCTGAATTTCTGTGTGGACATTAAACCTACTAAATGAAATCTTTATTATGGATTATTTATTTATTTCAGTTATATAATGAGGAAATATTAGATTTATTAGACACAACCAGAGATCCTGAATCTAGGGTAAATATTTTGATATTGTGTTAACTACATTAAATTAATCATTCAACTTGAATCTGATGTTAAGTTGGGTTTGATTTTAACAGTATTTGATATATATGATTTAATATCCCTAACCGCGTTTCCACTAAGAATTGTAAAGAAATACTGGCTAGGTTTGATACAGCTTTATTGCCGAACGCTTTTTGTTCTAGTTTAACCTGTTCCCGAACGACTTTCAGCCTCGATCACAAAGTCGCACATTATTGACAACTCGTGAAGTACAAGACTCCCGTTTAGACCAGTAAGAAATGCAATAGACCGGAAATACCAGTATGCCCCTTTTGCCGATTGCAAAAAAGGGGATTTCAGTTCCATTACCGTAACGGTTTGGCAATTTGGCCAGAAGAAACACACGAAGGCTAGCTTAAAGCTGTTTTTTCCCCAGTGGAAACACAGTAAATGTCTTGTTTTTACTGCATTATTTTTGAATTGCAATGTTACAATAATTATCAGTCTTAATGTAAATTGTTTGATGTTATCTGTATGATTGGTTTGAATCTTAATCCAGGGTAAAAAATCTCACATCAAAGTACATGAAGATGCAGTTGGTAGTATCTATGTTGTTGGTGTTACTACTAAACATGTTACTTCTTTACAAGACGTAAGTATATCGCTATCTCAAACCTAATTATTGCCACTAGTAGTTATTTATATGGAAAAGTTATAAATTGTGCATATTACTTGCTGCAAATATTCTATATTGTGTGGGTATGGTCTTGATTAAATCATGAAATAGAGATAGATTTGAAAGGTATACAACTGAGAGCTTAAATGTATTCTGCTTCTTATTTAGACAAAATCATTATAAATGCTGATTGACATATAATGTAATGTATTAAAATTTCAGACTATCCAGTGTCTTAAACTTGGTGCCTTATCTAGAGCTACTGCCAGTACAAACATGAATTCTCAATCTTCACGATCTCACGCTATCTTCACATTACATATTAAACAACACAGAATTGTGAAAGATGAGGTTTGTAGATAATTTAAACTGATAACTTGAGCATGTTTACTTTAAACTGAAATGACGATGAAGAAATGATTTTGGTTGCTTGGCCTAAAGAATTTTTATTTGATAGACAAAGGTGAAAAAAGCAAAACAATTAGGTAAACTCAAAAGACAATAGCTAAAAAATTTCTAGAAATGTATGAAATTATTCTTGCAATAAACGTACACCATATTTCTGACCAAGGACATAGTTTCTGAAATAGTCTATGCTCCTTAGAACTGGATAAGTTTAAAATAACCTTTCCCATTTATCTAGTCACTTTACAAAAACTAATTAGGTTGTATGATAACATACAGATTTACTTTAATCAACAATTGTAGGCTGTTCTAGAAGATGGCAAAGAGACAGATTCAACACAAGCTGTCAATGAATTTGAGACGTTAACAGCTAAGTTTCATTTTGTTGATCTCGCTGGTTCGGAGAGATTAAAACGTACTGGTGCTACAGGTGATAGAGCTAAAGAAGGCATCTCTATTAATTGCGGTTTGGTAAGTGTAGAAAGTTTATAAGTAAATTCTTTTGAAAGCCTTTAAAATGGTATTTATACAAATTTATTGCAAATTTGTTTAAGAGAAAACTAATCAATTTAGGCAATGGTTGGGGTAGTAATTTATAAAGTAAGGTAGCATGTGTGACAGGTTTGATATAAAAGCAAACTGGCTAAATCTTCATCAATTGCTCATTCCATGCCAGTATAATTCTTAATTTTTATACGCCCACATGAAATGTATTGCATTGATATAGATATTGGCCTAGAATCTATCAAGATAGGATAACAGAAAAATAGGCTATTCATTCAGGTGAATACAGACATACTAAGATGTGTTAACATGCATACTTTTCTTTCTTCAGTTTTGTCTATAATAACAGGGCTTTTTTATGATTTTTATACGCCCACATGAAATGGGGGGTGTATATTGCCGTCACCTCTTTCCGTCGGTCCACAATTTCTCGTAAACACTCTACAAGGCACAATTCTTGACTGATTTCGATAAAACTTGTATGGTTGTTTATAAGGATAAACCTTATTGAAAATCAGACAAATCGAAAAACATTTACTATGAGTTATTGCCCTTGTTGTTGAAACACGCGTAAACACTCTAGAAGGCACAATTCTTGACAGATTTTGACGAAACTTGGTATGAGTGTTTGTAATCACCCAAGGATAAACCCTATCGAAAATCAGAAAAATTGATAAATATTTAGTATTAGTTATTGCCCTTGTTCTTGAAAACGCGTTCAATTTTTGATTCGTAAACACTCTAGAAGGCACAATTCTTGACGGATTTTGACGAAACTTGGTATGAGTGTTGGTTATCACCAATGGTTAAACCATATTGAAAAACAGAAAAATTGAAAAATATTTGGTATGAGTTATTGCCCTTGTTCTTGAAAACGTGTTAAAATTGAGCTCTTTCTGGATTTTGACAAAACTTGTTTTATTATTCAGTCCTGAAGATTGAATATTTGCCTTCTAGAGTTTTCACGAGCTAAAGATTTAACACTTTTTCAAGAACAAGGGCAATAACTCATACTCAATATTATTCAGTGTTGTGCTAAAGAGTTCAAAAGAAGTGTATGACTGAAGGTTGAATATTTCATACTGGTGATTGTTACTGTAATGCTAAATATTTATGTTCAAAATCAAAGCTGCCAGTGGGCGTATATTACTTTGTCTGGCAAGCTATCATTACTATAAACATCACAGTACTGGTAACAGAAGAATCCCTATTTTTTTTTATTCAACTACATTTTCGCCTTCAGTAGAATACAGTAATTTTGTTTCAATCAATTACATGCTGTGGAAGGAAATGAATGTCATTTTTGAGCATCCTGAGTTTTTGATGTGTGCTTACTTACTAACTTAAATGTATGGATGAATATTTCAGTTAGCATTAGGTAATGTTATATCAGCTTTAGGAGATAAAGCTAAGAAAGGTTCACATGTGCCGTATAGAGATTCTAAATTAACCAGGCTATTACAAGATTCATTAGGTGGAAATAGGTAAGTCCTTCATGAATTCTGCACAGATGCTTAGAGCCTCCGACTTCAACAATTGGCCAAAATATGTCAGTCAGTTGATTGTTATACATCTTAACGATGAATGACACCCACACGAGAATGCAAATTATTTCAAATAAGAATTGAACAAATCCACTGCAGTTTTCATCTGGTTTGGGTGAAATTTAGAATGTCTTGTCTGAAACTGAGGATGTTTTTGATGATTGGTTTTTCAGCAAACGGAAAGTACAGTTTTCATCAAATTTGGATGCAGTGTGTCAAAATCAATGTATGATCGGTGAGGGTAGAGTTATCATGTGATTTTAATGAAGTAGTTACATACTTACAATTATTATCTTTGACATGTTTCAAATGGACTAGTTTTCTCATGGGAAAAAATCTGTACAGTTGCTATTGGCAACTTGTTATTTAGGTTGTCAAAGTTTCCTTCTGTATGTAACTAAAATTTAATTTCAGTGAATGAGAAAACAGTTATTATGACAACTCTATCACTCAGACAAACATAATCTATTTCAATGAGGTCAAGTTCATCCATCTCATAATCTGATAATGTTATTTTCAGTCGAACTTTAATGATAGCATGTATTTCTCCATCGGATAGAGATTTTATGGAAACATTAAATACATTGAAATATGCTAATAGAGCTAGAAATATCAAGAACAAAGTTATGGCTAACCAAGATAAAGCTAGTAAACAAATGGCTATATTACGAGCTGACATCATTGCCTTGCAACAAGAATTACGTGAATATAAAACTGTAAGTATGAAAACACTAAACAGACATTACTAAATATCTTTTTTATACGCCCACATAGAAATGTGGGCCATATATTGCTGTTACCACTGTCTGTCGGTCATTTGATCAGTTGGTTCGTCAGTCTGTCAACATTTCTTGTGAACACAATAGAGACTACAGTTTTCAACTGATTGAAATGAAACTTGATGTGATCATTTATATTGATGAGATCTTGGACAAGTTTGAACTTGATGATTTTTCAATGAACGGTTTTTGAGTTATAGCCCTTGACTTAGATAAAATGCTTCAACATTTGTTCATGAACACAATAGAGACTACAGTTTTCGTATGATTTTTATGATGAATTGTTGCTGTGAAAAGGCGGAAATCACTGAAGGGAGATGCGGTGGGAGCTTACTTCGTCCAGCGTAGTTTGCAGAGAATTCGTCGAATTTACATCCTCTGGCAAGTGTTTTCATTTGCTTTATTGGATAAGTATTCTTTTTAATGTTTGAAATATTTGTCATTGTGATATGTCTATATTCTTCGGAAGCCACTTGACACTAGTACGACTACGGTCTGACTCAGTGACTGAGTCTTCATCTATCTATGGCTATGGCCTGGGTTGATAAAAATGCCAACTAGTGCTGATTTTAAAGTAGGCCTAACTAACAAGTATAATTTTGAATATGATTTTACAAAAAAGAATTTTCAGTTCAAAATGTTGTTATGGGGGGGAATTCTGTTCATTTCAAATCAGACCTAAAGTCTGGGACAAATGGCATGCAACTAAAAATTATATTTTGAATATGCATGGAAAAATAGACAAAAGTTCACAATGGTAGAGTTGACTATCTCTAAAGTTTATGCCTTTTCCTTATCATGATAGGCTCAAATTCAAAATGTATTGCATTGATATAGATATTGGCCTAGAATCTATCAAGATAGGATAACCGAAAATAGGCTATTCATTCAGGTGAATACAGACTTACTAAGATGTGTTAACATGCATACTTTTCTTTCTTCAGTTTTGTCTACAATAACAGGGCCTTTCTATGATTTTTATACCCCCACATGAAATGGGGGGCGTATATTGCTGTCACCGCATCCCGTCGGTCCGTCCGTCGGTCCACAATTGCTCGTAAACACTCTACAAGGCACAATTCTTGACTGATTTCGACGAAACTTGGTATGGTTGTTTATAATCACCCAAGGATGAACCCTATTGAAAATCGGACGAATCGAAAAATATTTACTATGAGTTATTGCCCTTGTTCTTGAAACGCTCGTAAACACTCTAGACGGTGCAATTCATGACGGATTTTGATGAAACTTGGTATGAGTGTTCGTTATCGCCCAAGGATAAATCCTTTCGAAAATCAGAAAAATTGAAAAATATTTAGTATGAGTTATTGCCCTTGTTCTTGAAAACGCCTTCAATTTTAGCTTGTAAACACTCTAGAAGGCACAATTCTTGACGGATTTCGATGAAACTTGGTATGAGTGTTTGTAATCACCCATGGATAAACCCTATCGAAAAATTGAAAAATATTTAGTATTAGTTATTGCCCTTGTTCTTGAAAACGCGTTCAATTTTTAGTTCGTAAACACTCTAGAAGGCACAATTCTTAACGGATTTTGACGAAACTTGGCATGAGTGTTGGTTATCACCCATGGAAAAACCGTATCGAAAAATGGAAAAAAATTTTCAAACTTCTTTCCATGGATAAGAGGAGCAGCTTGTATGTCTTGGGAGGTTCAGTCATGGTCAGTTTTTCAAGGTTTGTTCTATCAGTTGCCTTACATATAGTGGGTACATTTCCAACAGCACACTCACACTGGGATTCAGCTATAATGCCATCTATGTCAATGTGATACGAAACTTTCTTCTTCATTTCTGCATGACATTCGGATTTGAAAATATATAAACCGTCAGTAGATGCTATTCTCAGAAAACGATTGGTATAAAGTTTCTTTGAGTCGTCATCAAGTTCCTTTTGAAATTGTTCATGGTAACACAGGATAGCTTCTAACTTCAGTAATGAAAATTTGGTATCAGTGTTAATGTCTTTGTAGAGATCATAATTAGGAATTTCCATTGAAGATTCATTTTCCAATTCACACTACGCAACTGCAAAGGAGTGGAACTGTCGAAGACACCTGACCCCTTGTCATTTTTAACTACTTTCGCTTTTTGACAGGACGTATTGATCTAAGCTTAGCTAGTTAAAGGATGCTGAAAATAATCAAAGAAACTTACGAACTTTTCGATAAAATCCCTCTTTCTTCCAGATACTTTTCCCACTCTAGATTTCATTTCCTTTCTCAGTTTAGTTCAGTCCCGTAGACCATAATCACGCTTCGTCCATTTACATGATCAGCCAGTGTTGCAGAACCGTGGGACCGCAATAGCCGTCGCGCCATCTACATCAAGGAACGACAACTCGCGAGTTTGGTTCCCCATTCAAACTAATAAAATATGAGAAAATTCATATTTTAGTCATTAAAGACTGTTTTATTATTTCTGACAGCTGCCAGTGGGTGTATGTTACCTTGCCTGGCAAGCTATCTTCTACTACTATTACAGTACAGTGGGGGTGTATATTGATTTCACCCATGTCCGTCGGTCTTTGGGTCCATTTGTCCACAATTACTCAACGAAACTTGGTATTAGTGTTTGTAATCACCCAAGGATGAATCCTATTGAAAATCCTTGTTCTCTTCAATTTTTGACTCATAAACACTATACTATAAGGCACAATTCTTGACTGATTTTGATTAAACTTTTTTTAAGTGTTTATAATTACCCAAAGATGAACCCTATCGAAAAAAGTAAAATATTCAATGAGTTATTGCCCTTGTTTTTATACGCCCACATCTCTCTATGTGGACGTATATTGTCGGCACCCCTGTCGGTCCTTCCGTTCGGCCGCCCGTCCGTCAACATTTGCTTGTAAATGCTCTAAAAACTAGAGTTTTAAATGGAATCAAATGAAATTCGGTATGTGTATACATATTCATAAAATGAAGATCAGGTTCGAATTTGAGCTATTTTCGACCGTTAGAAGCAGAGTTATTGCCCTTGCCCCAAAATCTTGAATATGCTATTCCTCTCTTAGTTTTCAACCGATTTTGATGAAACTTAAAATGGATGTTATTGGACCTAAATCGAAAGGTTTGAGAAAGTTTAGTTAACTTCTGATTAAATTTAAGGCTTTTTCACGATTTAGGCCTTTTACGTCAGTTTTGAGTTTCAGTTATCGCCCTTAAACCTCTCTACAGTAAGTGCTTCTATCAACATCAATTGCTCTAAAAACTAGATAAATGAAATTCGGTATGTGTAGACATTCATTGAGCTATTTTCGACCCCAAGAAGCAGAGTTATTGCCCTTGCCCCAAAATCTTTAATATTTACCATCTGCATGCCGCGGTGGGCATATATGGCTGTGGTCCACTATCTTTTTAGCAAAGTAACACTCTAAAAGGCTTCTTGAAATTGTTTATTATCATCCATGGGTGAACCCTATTGAAAATAAAAAATTGAGAACTATTGTATATGAGTTATTGACCTCAATTTGAAAACACTCATACACACTTAAAGGGTCTATTCCTACTGGATTTTGTTGGTAATATTATTCAGTGTCACCCCCAAAAGTTCAAAAGATGTGTTTGACTGAGAGTTGAATATTTCATACTGATGATAGTTACTGTACTGCCAAATATTTTTATTTAAAATCAAAGCTGCCAGTGGGTGTATATTACCTTGCCTGGCAAGCTATCTTTGTTTTGTTTCTAGGGTCAACGTGCTGTTAATTCAGAAGGTGTTGAAACTATTACTGATACTTATCATGAGAATCAAATGTTACAAACAGAAATAGAAAAATTACGTCAACGTGTCAAGGCTTTAAGTGAAACTATTGAGAGTCTCAAGTTAAGAAATTCTCAATTAGTTGTTGAAATAGCTACATTTGGAATAGTCACTGAAAATGGTAAAATGTTTAATTACTTATGTTCAACTTTCAAACCTACAGATCTTCTTTACAAAACATTACTATATCTAGCAATGTATAATAATATAGAATTTAACATGTACCGGTACAAGGTGTCTTTAGGAAGACTTATTGTCATTCTGTGATTTGTTTGTTAACTTGGCATTCTTTTTCGAGAAAGGACCTAGCTATAGGTGAACAAAGATTACATAAATAAGTCTGCTAGGCAGTTAAATAATATATTTAATGTTCCATTTTACTCCCTGATCCTAAAGTTATTTTATCACAGTTCCTTGGAACTAAATTCCTATTTCTTGAAGAAAAGACCAAATTAAATGCCAAATGACAAATATTATCTATGAATTAAGAGAACTTCTTGTGTTTATGTTTTGAATTTCCCTTTGATGAGCACAATTATTAATGCTTGATTATAATACGGATTATATTTTTGGCAGTCTTACCATACATTTACAATAATGTGTGAAAGTTTAGGAAGTCTGAAAGTCCACCCAAACTTTTACCCTTTTGGTTTTTTTTTAGGTGAAGTATCGAATGAAGCTGCTAGTAATTTGATAAGTTCTTATGTTAAGGAAATTGAGGATTTAAAGTAAGCAACACATTGGTCATTGATTCTTGGGGCCTTCAATGATAGCATTCCTTGACAAAAAAAAACATTGCATAACAAAGTCTTTAAAAATGATTTTCTTGCTAAAACAATTATGATGGCAGTTTCATTTGACTTTGTTGAAAATTTGATATACTCATGTTGGATTGCTGATATTGAAGATAGTCAATGATACTACAGTAACTATTTCAGTTTTCACATTGGAATGCATAAGAAAGACAATATAATTATTTTCACTACAGCAAGTATTTCTTTAAGTTAAGAATTATTGTTGTTTATATTTGAACATTCCATGAACACTAGTAATCTTTTTGACTGTTTCAGAACTAAGTTATATGAGTCTGAGGCTATGTGTGATACAGTAAGAAAATCAGCATTACGTAGTCCAAGAAGTCCATCATCCAGACTACTAGCTAGTCCAATGTCAACTGCTGCTAGTGGAATATTCGATGTTCCTGCTACACCAGACAATAACTCATTATCAGCTATTTTAGAAGAGGCAAAGAAAGATGTCAATAAGTTGAAAAAGACTAAACGGTCAAAGTCAAGAAATAATCAGCATGGGTTAGTCAGAATTTCTACAAAATATATGGAATGATCTAGGAATAAATGAAAAGCGTTTTTAATCGAAGTATATATTTTTATGATAAACTGTTTTGTATATTTTATATATAGAATATGTATGATATGTTAGTGAAAGATAGAATAGTATAATATATTTGAGTATTTCTGAAATATTTTAAAGGTGAAATGATCACAAAAAGGAAGATATTATCTGACCAACATAATTCCATACAATATTCAAGATTTATGTTGACATGAAAAGATAATTATTTTTGGTGATATTGGTTCACTTTTTATGACTATCTTTACAAAAAGAAGTATCTATGGGTTATATAGTTGCAGATGTGTGTGTACCAAGAGTAAAACATAGTACACTGAAATGATAATGATTTTTACTTCTAGAAGTGATAAAGAAAATGTAAGTGATAATGAAAATGATAGAATAAAAGATGATGATATTGAACATGTTGAAAGTCAAGAAAAATCAGATGATGATGAAACAAACCAGGTATGTTTGACTTTTCATATCAGAATATTTTTACTGGATTGATGATATGAATAGTAGTGTTTTAATCCGATTTCGGGTAGTGTTTCACGGGTAACTGGGTCTGATTTGATATAATCAGTTTATAAGAAGTAAAAAGAGAGCAATTTTGACAGGAAATTTGTTACTGTATGAGTCTTTAATCTTTAGTAAATAAACATCTTTATTTTGATATAAGTTCAACTACTTACTCGTTCTGGATAATCGCGTCACAATGGTCTTAGTTTATCGACAGTCGCCGTGTGCACCATTATGTTAATTAGGTTAAACAAATAAGCATTGTTATCATTATCAGACATTAAGCACATTCTTATTTTTATTGTATTGCGAAAATGTAACAGTGTTTTTAAGCGTGTTCTAGTGTTTTAATAAGTTTTGTTATTATTTTTATTATTTCAATTGGGTACGAGTTGCTTAGAATAAAACAGTTATCGTATTAAGATCGTATTACTTTTTATCAACTCTCCTCTAATTGGCTGTTTGTTTCTTCTTGCCTGTCAATCAGCTTCAAGCTTATTAATATTCATGAGTATAGATTCATTGAGACAATAGTTTTATACCAGTTGTGGAATCAGTTCACTGATTCGCGGCGACTTCAATGAGATACACGCATTACACTGACCCCATAACTGGTATAAAAACCTTTGATCTGTTAGAAACTGTAGCAATGAGTGACAATGGCGCCACTCCGTCTGAACTCTGTCTGGCCCGCTCGTAATCTGACATTAATGCATACGCTTCAATGCCACAATACGATATGTTTCATGATAAAAGAGATAAGATATGAGTATGCAATATAATCTTTAAACAAAATATAGAGATAGAGATCATAATAAATAACGGAATACAATTTATGGTATACTAATTCTACCCCTGAGTTTTATTGTACAGTATCGTTTCAACAATTCGCATAATTTTTTTCATATTTTTACTGTAATAATGGAAATATGAAAAATATGAGAAAAAGAAACGAAAGTTTTGTTCAACCTTTTTCTCTTTCTTATTTAAAAGCCTTCTAACAAGAGATTATTCTTGTTGCTATTGTTTTAATATAATATAACAACACATATCTGCACTCAGTCTCATCTTATTGACATCCAGTTATATACATCTATCACCAAAGCAATTCCCTTTGTCAACAGATTCGTCGTTTGTATCCTGTAACATCACCAATATCTCAGGTTCAACACGTGCAGAGTGGCACTACAACACTTATTAAAGTTTTATGTACTTATTATATTTTGTGTTTTGACACTATGTAGAACAATGGAGTTTTTTTAGAGAGTGACTCCACAACACTTATTATATTTTATGTTATGAAATTATTCAGAACATGGGTGATATGGATGATAATAGTGATAATGAAGAAAATGATGATGATGATGATATTGATGATGAAAGTGAAAGTGATATTGATGATGAGGATAATGATGATGATGATGAGCAAGGTAAAATTCATATTGTTCATTTCATTTTAAGTGCTCATAGTTCTAGCTGTAAGGGTTCAATAAAAATGCTCACATCAAATATAGATTGCAGCAATACTTTATAGTCCGAATTGATTTGGATATTGTTTATATTAAATAATATACTATATTATCATTATAATTTTATTAGAGAGTCTGCTAACTGAATCTATGTATGATGATAGTGAGGAGATATTTTTAGATTATTGGGAAATGTGGGCAGGTAGAGAAAATCTCCATATATATATATAGATGTTGTTTATTTCCTTTTGTACAATGATTTTGTGTTGCCAGCTAGGTAGGGCATGCTCACCATTTCTGAACACCTAATGCTATTTTAAAGTTATTTATATGCAAGGCTGTAAATACTGTGCCATCTATTTGATGCAGTCTCCTACACACATGATATGATGAATTGTTATGGTTGTTCAGCGGAATTGATTTGCTAACTCTTCATTGTTTTATGTTACCAGTCAAATTATTTTAGCCTTGTTTATTTGGTATATATATATTCTTTTTAATAATTCAGCACATATTTCTTTCACAAATATACTTATACAACCAAATCAAACAGTATTAGCTATACTGTTATAATATAAAAACAAATGATATTCTTTATATATATATTTCTATAGAAACACCCAAATTTTAAAATGTAAATATATTTGTAAACTTAATAACTCAATATTTCACATGCTCATATAGGCAGTTTTATCAAGATGTTGTAAATGTGCACAGTAGAGCTAAATTTAAACAGTGAATTTAAAGATTACAAAAGCACTTATTTATCTTATTTTTTGGTTTAAATGTTCCTCTTTTTTTGAAAATTATATAACAGTTTATATAAAGTGGTATTTTTATCTTATTGTGATGCATGGTTGTTTTGGGGGTTGTCATCTACAATCTACTTGAATCTAGATGATTATGTAGTAATAAAGAGTTTATTGTAATATCTTGTTTGAAAATAGAAAATATGATTGTCTTAACAATGTCATTTTAAAATAACCTGAATTAAGCTCTTGAAAACATCATAGATTTATTTTGAAATTTTATTAGTTTCAATTTTAGAAGTATACCCTACTTTTTAGAGACAATGATAAATATTCACTTCTGAAAGAACTTTGACTTATTATTGGGAGCAGATTGGTGAAATATGTTGCTTTTTTGTAAGAATTGATATTCAGATTTTTTTTCTGGTAATAAAGGTTTTATGTAAAAAAGTCTTTGCTTTCTCTTTCTTAGATTCTGATCATATTCATGAAGATTTAGCAGAATTAACTTGTGAAATATCTATAAAGCAAAGATTAATTGAAGAATTAGAACAAAGTCAGAAAAAGATGCATGCTTTACGTCATCAATATGAAGAGAAAGTTGTTCAGTTAGAAACTAGAATAAGAGAGACAGAATTGGAAAGAGATCAAATCTTGTCAAATTTAGGTGAGAAGTGTGCAAACATGTTTTTTTTTTCAACCCATCATTTCTTATATTAAGTTATTGAAATTTTTCATTCAATTTTCATAAAACTGGGTATAGTTCAACAACAGCGTTCTCATGTATTTATACAGGTAATAAAGAATCCTCCTCAAATGACAAAGTTAAGAAGGTAAAACAAGATTATGAGAAGAAGATCAATGATTTAACTGGTGATTTAAGAAAAATGCAGGCAGCTAAAAAAGAGCATGCTAAATTAGTAAAGAATCAGTCTCATTATGAGAAACAACTAAAGACATTACAACATGAAATGTTAGAGATGAAGAAAACCAAGGTAAACTTTAAATACTAGTAATTCATATTTTATGAATGTCAATCATGTTAATGCTGTGCTGGTAGAAAATGCTTGATTCATTTTCATTTTAAATTAGCCAGGATTGTAATTGGACTCAATGAATTGGTTGATGTGTGAACTAATATTTTTGATAGGTAGATGTCCTCTTTATCTAGACTATATGGCAAAACAGATTACAGTGATATATGACATGATGTTATGTAATTTGATCAGTCCAGACTCTTTTGATATATTTTATGTTTTATTTCAGGTTCGACTCATGAAACAAATCAAAGATGATGGTGAGAAGAATAAATCTTTAGAAGCTCGTAAAAATAAAGAAATATTCCAGATCCGTCGTGATCAGTTGAAATTCCAGAACAGAATAAAAAATTTAGAACAGGACAAAAAACAAAAAGACATTGTTCTAAAACGAAAACAAGAAGAGGTAAGTTTATTGTTAATAGATGACACACTTGTGGTTTTGGTTGAGTCGTTGCTAAATGAAAAGGAAAAGGGTAATGTCGGTTTTGTCTAAATTAACTCATTATATCAGTTTTATCAGTTAGTAGCTTGTTGACCATATGTAAGTGAGATATTCATTATTTTATTCATGTTTATATGGAGTTTACATTTCACAACTCATCCGATATTCTAGGGTTATGAGAATTTTCTAGCTAGAGATCAAGTATTAACTTTGAAATTACTGAAACAGGGTTACTTGACACACAAACTTCAAATGTCATGTAGGAAATTTTATAATCGAGAACTCCTTGATAACTACAATAAATCAATTTCTGTCATTTTGGCTGATTTGTTTAGTCACGGGAATTAGATCATGCTTACTCTTTTCCTAGTGGTACCTTTTTTTCGGATGTTGCCATTCTTTGAATAAGATTTTTGATTGACGACATTATCTTGCTTGTACAGATTTTTATCAAAAAACATGTTTTGGACAATGTTGTCAAAAGTCTTAATGAATTCTTTTATAATATTATAGATGTAGTTAATTTTCTTATTTAGCTTGAATCTTTACGGAGAAGAAAGAAAGTAGTAAAACCAATGTCTGCTAAGGCTGCTGGTCGTATTGGTACTTATGATAGACCAAATACAATTCCTATAGGTATCTTACTAGACCATTATTCTTTATAAGTCATTTTCAAATTGTGTAATCAATGATTCCACCACTATAGAAATGAGCAATCTATCAATGTATCTAGATCTGATCTTTTCTAAATAGCTAGCTGAAGCTAAAATATATTGTACATAGAGTTTATATTTTTATGAAAGGCGCTCACCTGCATGATATATCTTTGGCATTTCTTATACTGTTTTTTTAAATTTCTATAACCCTTGTCTCATGTCTGATAGAAAATGATTATTGATAATTTTTTTTTTTTAGCACCCATTTCATCATTGAACTCTAAGAGAAAGAAGAAACAATTTTCTCCAAGGGCTGCTAAAATTAAATGGGATACAATAGAGAAAAATGTAATATATTTTAGGTTTCGGTAGTGATTTCTTATACACAATACAATTTTCTGAATACCGTTATGATGTTTGTTAAATGGAGATCATGCACTAAGATGCATTTAGATGTCTGCTTTTAAATAGAGTTACTGAATGAGATAACATGCCAAGATTCAAATAATAACTTGACTTAGACTTAAACAAAACACTTTCTAAAGTTTTTTAACTGAAGGTATCTGGATATGGATCTCCAGGAAATCATCAGGAATATTACCACCAATAGTGTAGAGTAAATGCAAGAATGTTTATATTTCAGGTGAATGCTGTGATAAATAAAAAACAAACTATGACTCATATGGAGAATGATATGGGTAACTGGGTCAAGGTACAGTGATCTGTTTTAAATAAAATTTAAGTAAACTGCTGTATGGTTTCTCCACATATCAATTGTAGAGAGGTGGTAATAATTAAATTGAGACCCTTCTAGGATGTTTTTGCTGTTAATTTTATTGTTGCTGGATCTATTTCCTACATGATAGTTTCTTAGTTTGACAGTCAACTTATTGGAGGGTAGGATCAGGAGGGTAGGATCAGGCCATCTGAAAAAAGTTGTGAATTGAAACATTAGTAAAAAGGGTTGGAAATGGTTCAGTCAGTAATATTTGGGACTTTAAGATAAATGTTGACCTCAAGACACGAACATTTCTGATTTCTGATTTAGTCATTATTCAGATCTAATCACTCTCATAATTCTTATATGAACTAGGAATTTGATAAAAAATATTTTTCAATGTTTCATTTAGATTATAATTTTCAATTATTTATTGCAGCAAAGAGAAAAGATAGTGAAAAAGATAGAAAAATATACTCAGAAAAAGGATATGTCATCAAAGGTTAGCAAATATTTTATGTGAATATTTGTTTATTAAAAGAAAATATCTGTTGAATGTTCAATTCACTCACATGACTAGCTGATAAATCCATGTAGCTCATGCTCATTATTCAGTGATTGTATAAACTATATATGTGCAAAAGAAGATGAAAGAAGAATATGAGAAGAAATTATGTCATGGTAATGTTTATTTCAGCCTGATGGAGTTAAAGATTTAAATGATGTGATAGATAATTTAAAGTCTCAATTAGAATTTATACAAGATAATATTAAAGACTGTCAAGCTTATATAGTGCAAGTTGAAGAATCAAAGGTTAGTTCAAGTCTTTTTTTTATTCCTGCTTTGTTTTGCAAGTGACTATTTTTTTTATTTGATTTTTTCGATTTCTGGTCACGATCCCCAGCCAAAACTACACATAATCTGACATGATTTCCCACGATAAATATGTGCTCAATACGAAATTCCAATTACTGCTCTAATTTTTAATCTGTTTTGATCGTAATTTTTGTTTTGTTCATCACAAAAATCTGTTTTCAAAATCACTTTCGGTTTTGACGTCATTCGCCTTCATACTGGAAATTTCAACTTCCAGAATATTTGAAAAATTTACATTGACTTCTAAAATTAACTGGGCAAAATTTGATTTTTGCCGTATGAACTCAAACCTTTAACGTAAAACAACAAATAGCTCATGATCTAATAATTGTAACCACTTGAAATTTTCAGCAGTATTTAACATTGTACACATAAGAGGCAAAGCAAAAGTGGGCGTGGCATATCTGGGTTACATTCACTGTTACCTTAAATATTTGAAATTGTCATTACTCTTCTCTTTTGTTGTACTTAGATAACTACCGGTTCTGCAGCCATTTGAAATCGTGATTTTCAACTTTGAAGAGCTCTGTGACTTTATCTATAAGCGTGAAAATTTCTCCTTATTACATGTAATCTATTCTTTCAAATGATATATAACACTTGGTATTTTGATTAAAATAAAAAATAAAATTCGAAAAATTTACATTGACTTCTATAATTAACTGGGCAAAATTGATTTTTGCCGTATGAACTCAAACCTTTAATGTAAAACAACGAATAGATCTAGTAATTGTAACCACTTGAAATTTTCAGCAGTATTTAACATTGTACACATAAGAAGCAAAGCAAAAGTGGGCGTGGCATATCTGGGTTACATTCACTGTTACCTTAAATATTTGAAATTGTCATTACTCGCAAAGTTTGCAATTGTCTTCTTCGAAATTTTGCATGAAAATAGCTCACTACTTGGGACAGTGAAAAAGCTACATCTGTTTGGGCCTTTGCCTTTGACTTTAAAAAAAAAGTAACAGGTTTTACAATTTTCAAAATTATCATTTTGCAAGGTCAAAGGTCATTGATCTTGGATGCCCATTCATACTTTGATTTTTGATGTCCAATATATATTTCCGCTTTAACAGACGTCCAAAAACAGCAATTTTCAAAACTTACGGCTCATATTACTTTTATTTGACCTTTGTTAACCTTTTGACCGGACAAAAGTTATTGCGTTTGACGAGATCTATTCAAAAATATATTCATTTGTATTGTACGGTGTTTAATATAAGTTTTACAGCGATTATAAAACTGGACTACGGAATATTAATATTTTTTACTACCGAATCGAATGTTATTAAATTGATGTGCTTTTTCACAACCAATCGTCAAGTGGTTTATCAAATTTTTACTACCGAATGTTAACATGTTTTCATTTTTGGTAAAAAATCATACTATGACTTTAAAATGCAACGTTTCACTGCTGTTTGAGGTCGGATACACACTGCATTGGTACCGTCCACAAATCTAGTTGTTTGTCATCGAAATGTCAATTCTTTTTTTTTTCCACTGGGCATACAGCTGAGGCTACAGACCTTGTGTAGTGGCAACGTTGATAATGAATATATATTGGAACATTTATGCAAAGCCAGTATTTGTACATTACCAAATGTTCAAAAAGTAGAAAATCGGCTCTCTAGAAGTCTTTCTTTTTTACTTTTTAAATAATTTTTGCTTTCCGAAAACAGCCAAATTCGCAACTTTGGACTGCTCTAGCCTGTGACTTAATTAACCTAGAAGGTTAATTTTTTCAGATTCTTAATGTGCTCCTCATGCTTTTTACAAGTAGTTTTCAAGGTTATCATACTTTAACCTGTAATAATTGAATAAATAAGTAGGTTTAGGGTAGTTAATTGTTAAATAAGTAAATGAATTATTTTTTATAGGAAGAAGGTGAAGCATGTGATATTAATACAGTAATATCTAACTGTAATTTAGAAGAAGCTAGATATTTATTAGAACATCTATATAACTTCTCAGTTGTAAAGGTATGATTTCTGTTTTCAAATAGAATAACATTAAAACCTAAGAAAATGATTGCAGGTGTGCATGAGTTAGATATTAAACGTCATGGCATGCTTATTCTTCCCTAACAGCTATTACCACTGTTAGGGATTGTAAAGACGTTTTCTGCTTTTTTTTATATGTATCCGGAACACTCAAACTCAAAGCATCAATTTTCACTATTCAAATTTCCTGCAATTTCACTTAAACCAAGTGTTTGATGACATCACTAATAGTAAAATATGCTTAATCTCAAAGGCCCTTAGCTATTAGTGATGTCAT